ATCTGTTTCGTTTAAAGTGTAGAAAAATCTTTACTATGTTCTGCCTTGTTGTGGTTTTGGTGGCATACCTGGAGAGAACACCAGTAAAAAGGAATCGAGCTGTTTGTGATACAATCAAAATAAATAAATGGATGTATGAATATCGATTCTAAAATACCTAAATGAATTACGAATATTCAAGGTGAATGGAAACTGAAAATTAAGAAAATGTAGCTTTATTGTATTTTGTGGATCTGTGGAAAAACGCTTATTTCCACCGCGGTCGCTTTTGCACTTCATAACTCTTGAACAAAATTTATCCGAAACGCGGCTTTCACCTTTTCTTCTAAACTAAAAATTTTATTTTTGTTGACGGCAGGATTTGAGATGAAATCCCCCAGGGGCAGGTTTGGGACGAAAATTCTGAAAATTTAGGTCAGAATATTAACGACTTGTCTTTGCTGTTGCTGCTGTATCTTTTTGCTGGAGTGTCCATTTAAATTGATAAAACACACTCTTTGTGTGTGTTGGGGTATAGGTTCATGACAGCACCAAGTGATGAAAAACAGAACACGACTTCACAATAGGTGCAACCTTTTGTGCATGTGTGTCTGTGGGTGGGTTGGGGGGGGGGGGGGGGGGGGCGGGTAACATTGTTACAAACTCTCAGAACCTAGCGGACCCAACACAAATCTGTGAAACGTGGTCGAAGAAGGTTTTGGCGGTCTTGCAAGACGACTACGAAACGCTCTGCACAATAAGCACCGAAGTTCTTGCTCTGGGTATTTGTTTACGTTTAAACGTGTATTCCGACTTCAAATTACTGCCTCAAAAATTGAAGTCGGGGAAATCACGGTCAGTGCAAGGCTTGCGATGTATGGAGACATATGATCACACAAAAAAAAAAGGTACCTAAAACATTGGTAATGGTATACCAGTACCCCACGGTATCACGACTGAAAAACGGTCCTTGTATCATCCTTCTGTGATAGAAACTCTGTCTGCAACAGCTCTTTCAAGATTTCATGCTATTGGCTCACTGAGATCTGTAGTATAGTCTACGAATTACTGAATCTTTGATTTCCAACTTCGCTGCTCGGACATTCACGCGGGATGTTGGCGAGCGTCGTACGCGAGGTTGACGGCGTTGTATGGTTCTTCTCGGCGGCTGTCGGCACTGGAGAATATGACCGCCGAAAGAACGCCGAACGCGAGTCAAGCCATGGCTAGGTTCTGTGGGAGCGAAGCCGGGCAAAGAGCTCATGTCAACATCGAATCGCACGTGGGAATTATGGCATCGAAGAATAAAGATTGAGCGTGGACGCGCGTTGATGTTACGCTGATTTTAAACTCCCCGAAGACAACATGTGATTTCTCCAGATTTTCCGTGCGTGCAAAAAAGCGCACCAAGCACACACACAAAAAAAAAAAAAAATTCTGGGTGGCTGCAACGTTGTTCACCTTCCACAGTGCGCCCCCCCCCCCTCTCCCCCTTCAGTAATCAAAAGGTGTGAGTATGGTAAGAGAGTAGGACAGGAGTGAGCAACGTCCAAGGCTTCACTATGAAATCGAGAAGACGGCGGCATCACAGTGATAGATCTTGCGCAAACACGCGCCTAATAGCACATCACATTCTTAAAGCACGTTCAAAAGTCTCCAGACCTCCAGATTGCTATACGCTACTATATAAAAAGTATTATTGACTAATTGAGATGCAAACTTGAATTTAAAAAAAATTAAAGTTGAAGTAACTCTTAAAATATCAAATAGATCTGGCAAAATCATAAGGGAACAAAATGACGGTGATTGCGATCTGTTCCCTTTTCGCCATGAATATCGTTCTATAAAAACGAAAACGAACGCTAAATGGAATACTATGCGTCTTTTTCAATGAAACATTCTTTATGACCTTGACTCTCACTGCATCAGTCAACACATAATAGCTGTGAAATTGCGGTATACGTACTGACATGCCCGTTCAGAATTTCCGAACCACTCGCACGAAACAGCAGGGCACACACCTCAGATGCCACTCTAGCCTTTAATATGACACAAATGTGACACTGACTGGGAAGCCTACACTCGAAAATGAATCCTAGTAAACAAGCTGCTCAAACAGCCTTTTTCCTCAGCTGCCACAATAACTGTATGGTAAATTAAGCTATTATATTTATTATAATTAACTAGTCCTTCTGCTAACGAGTTGCCTGCAGGATGCTCTTCCCGATCCTTCTTTAGGGATAGAAACCTACAAAATGCAAGAGGAAGCTAACTTCGTTCTACTTAGTAAGCTGATTACAGTAGGCCATATGATGTACGAATACATCAGCTAGCCTATTGTGTTTTTTGGACACCACAAGATAATGCGAGTCTCGGCCGAAGCGAGCAGCCTACCTCTCTGGGAGAAGCCCTTGGCGCAGTGCGGGCAGCCAAAAGGCTTCTCTTTGTTGTGGAAGCGCTGGTGGGTGACCAGATCGCTGTGGCGGATGTAGCCCTTGCCACAGAGGGAGCACCGGTGAGGTTCTGTGCCCGTATGCACGTGCAGGTGTCGTGTGAGGTCGCACCGCTGGATGAAGCTCTTGCCGCACTCCTTGCAGTGGAACCGCTCGTCCTCCTGCGAAAGCTGCGAAAATGAGGCAGGGCCCAGGCGTTCCGTGGCGCCTCTCACCTTGGTGCGTACGGTGTGAATCTTCTGATGACGCGTGTAGTTGCCCAGCCGGTTGAAGGTAGCGCTGCACATCTCGCACTGAAAAGGCCTCGAGTTTTTCGGCGGGCTCTCTGGGGCCTTCTTGTGTGATCCTGGATTCTCGTTGGCACCTGAGTCAGAGCGAAGCGCCAGGTTGGACCTGCTCCCGAGTACGGGAACGTGTGCTCTTTAGTCGCTTACCAGTTTCCTTGTTCAGTGAATTCGTGCCCTCCAGCTTGCAGATGGCGTTGATGCTCACTTCCTTGATGGTAGTTCCATCCTCGTGCAGAATCTGCAGGCAGCGATGTTGTAGGCAACGATTACCTAAGATAGACTCAAAGTGGGAATTTAGGTTTTATGGCCAAGCTTTATTAAATATAGACGCAAGGCTTACCAATCACCTCGTGCAGGATCAATGCGGAACACTCCGAAATTTAAAAATATTGGGAGGAACAACTAGTGTTTTGCATACCTAAGTTTATTGAGGAGAAGTGCAAGGCTGGCGGATATTTTGAACTGAGTAAACAGATGGGGGAAGGGCTCACCTGGAACTTAACGGGTGACATGGCATCGGGAACCAAGAGAAAGTTGCCGAGAATCACGGAGTCCACTGGCAGCACATCAAGGTTGACCGTGGTGCTGGCCATCTGGTTGGCCGTGGTGATCTTCAGCTTGCCTTCAACTACAGCTTCCTGGGCAGAGTCCAGAGGCTGTGTCTGCTTCAGTGGCTCACCCTTCGCGCCATCCGGCTCCGAAGCAGTGTCTTCCGGTGCAGAGCAGCACTTGTCCTCCTTGTTGTGGACCTCGCTTGGGACCTCACCCCCAACAGGGAGGCGCCGGACCTTGAGCTTCTTGTTCTCCTTTCCGTCAGAGTAGGGTTCGCCCTGCGAAGGACCCGTGTGGGCCACCATGGCCCCACCGACAGAGTTTGAAGGGTTCTGCTCGGCCAGAGGGGACACAAAGAGGTCCGTCATGTCGGCGGCCTCTTCGAAGGCGGTGCTGTGTTTGGTGAGATCCTCCAGGAGCATAGAGGGGTCCTGATTTATGGTGCTCAAGGCCACGTCCTTGCTGTTCTCGTGCAGGAGCGGAGATTCGTTGGTGAAGCCGTCCAGGTTGAGGCTGTGGTCCTCATAAGCCTCCACCTTGATGAACTGCACCCCTGGGTAGAGAACAACACTGAGCGCCACGCCACGTGCGTAGATGCGCAACTCACCATTCTCATCCTGCGAGCTCAGGAAGTCAAGGCCCGAGACCTTGATGGGGTCCCCTGCGATGAACACCTGGTCGGGCGACTTGATGTCGCGTTTGGACAGCTCGAGAGCCAGTTCGTCGTCGAGGCCGTCGTGGTGCTTGGCTGCACCGCCACGCTTGACCCTGTCGTCGTCGGCGGCCAGTACGTAGTGCACGTCGTGCTTGAACTGGCTCACCAGCTCTCCCAGGTTGGGCACCAGGAGCAACGAGGGCAGCGATACCCCGTCCCGATGCACTGCCTGGGCGCCCATCACCAGGCTGTTGATGTAGTCCATCGCCTGAGGGTTCTGCATGGGCGCTACACGCGGCGCCTGGGACTCCGCGCCAGCCCCGCGACGAGCCTGCCGAACGCCGATGCGGAGAGGCGCCGCCGTGCTCTCCGGGGCTGCATCGCTGCCGAGCTCTGATAGGCCTAGTGCCGCCTGCCGTCGCCGCCAACCCCTCGACGACGCAGAGCGGCCCTCACGTCGTTTGGGGCAGCTTTTCGGCCATGACTCAGGCCCTGGGGCCCCTGAGGCCTGGTGCTGCGGGGGGAAGCTGGCTGGCAGGAAAGCCGCTCACTCGCCAGGCCTCGACCGACGCGAGCTCCGGGCGATCGAAGAACCCGTGTGCGCACGCTCGGTCACGGGGCCTGTCCTGCGCACGCGAGACGCCGCATTGATCGGCGCCTGACCCGGATGCGCGGGCCCTCCCTGGACCCTTTCCCGTCCCCCTGCCTGTTTACATGGCCTAATTAGATTGGGTCCCTGTTTACGCGCCCCCTGCGCTCGACCAGCCGTCGCATGCCTGCGCGCTTCCTCGCAGCGGGGATGTGGCTCGACCACCACCTAGCAGAATAGGCCGCGCGGAGGGCTCGCGCGCGCAGGGGCGAAGCCGACTCCGTTTCCCGGCGCCCGCCTTCCTGCGCTCCCTCGGGTAGGCGACCAGCGCGTCGCCTACGGCGAAATCAGGGAGCGTCCTTTCGTCGACGCAGCTCAATACGCCCGGGAGGGCACTGTAGCTGGCTGGCCGTTCTGCTGCCAGAGCTGGTTCGATAATCTCCAGGAGCTAGCGCTCAGTGCGCATGTGCCACCATGTCTTGAGGATGGAGCCCGGACTTCATCCGATGGCCGAGCACAGCCTGGACGCCCTCTGCAGAAACACCAAATTCACCAGACGCCAGATTCAGCTCATGTACAGAAGCTTCAAGCAGGTGGGTGCCGCCGCGGACCCGCCCGCAGCCCCGACGGTCTCAGTGCAAATGGTGTCCGCGCTCGTTTGCGGCTCCAGTCACGATTTGCTCGGCTTTCACCAGTCATGGGCAACAGTTTGCCCTGTTCGGGTGTCTGTCGTAGCGTCGGCACGACGGATTACGTGAGTGTGACTGTTTGTCCAGGGCTGCGCGGCGGCGTTGTGGCGCGCGTTGGTTGGAGGTGGGTGGCCTTGAAAAAAAGACCCGCAGTGCACTCGTGCGAGGAGAAACGCCACGGGAGCACGTTTCGTTGGCAGGGTTGATGGCAGCACTCCGCGATTCTGTGGACCGCACTGAGTAGAGGGGCTCGCTCTTTGTGCACCGCTGGTACAAATGGCAGCGAACGTTAGGAATTTGTGTTCCGAGGACGCAGTTACACGCAATTGTCGTGTTGTATCCTTTTTTTTTTTTCTTTTTTTGACCACGGCAGAAACCCGGACATTGTTGACATAGGAGAGAAGCGATACCGTAAGCGTGGTTTGCAATGTTTCTCGACCTCTCGTCCCCTGAATGACAACGAATTAACAATTGCTTCGGGGAATTATATATTGGCCAAATAACTAAAACAACAATAACAAAAAGGACAGCTGGTGAAACGACGGCGATAAGACATGTTGACCAACACAACGCCTTCTTGCACAACGTTTTGGGGTGCAACAAGCGTTTCACAATCGCTTGTTGCAACAAGTTGTGTTGCGTCGGGATCCTTTCCTTTATTTTTCTCCTTCGGCGTATTGTTTCCTGCCCGCTCTGCTCAGTGTGTTCGAAAGACTAACTCACGTTTATATTTTCCTGAAAAAAAAAAATCAATGAGCCCCCTGAATGAAGCTGATCATAGTTCGCTCCGCGTGCAAATAACGATGATGAGCGTCGTTATTTTCAACCCTTGACCTTGAACTGTTTCAGGAGTGCCCCACGGGTTTCGTGGAAGAGGACACCTTCAAACACATCTTTGCACAGTTCTTCCCATACGGAAGTAAGTGTGGCCACCTTTCACAATGTTACAGGGCGTGTGACGCGATCCACTTTGGTCGAACGTGGCTAGTCCGTGCTTCTCTGCGCCCGACGTGAAACGTATTTTCGGGCAGTTAGGAACGTCGAGCAGCCCTCGTTTCGACCTTTAATAACTACTTCAGGACTTTTGTTTGACTTTGACTAGGGCTGGGCGTCGATCAAAAATTTTAACCCGATTAATCGCCACCCTTTAATCGATTAATTAATCGATTAATCGGTTTCGTTCATTCCTATTTATATTAGTTTTTTTTTTTTTATAAAGTCCATATTACATTTTTTTTTTGCATTCGATGGATATGTGACAAACGGCGCAATGTGTATTTCTGGTTTTTAAGTGACCCTTAATGTTTGGTTGAGAATAGTCAAAAGACACCCACACTCACAAATTACTACTTCAGCCGCAGAGGCAAAGAGATTCGTTGATATTCTCCAATGCGAACTCCTTTGACTGTTCCCAATATACTCTACTGCGCTAAATTGTAACTCTCACGGCGTTAAAGTTACTGGGACACGTATTCTCTGCGTCTTTGGAGCTACATATCTCGCCCCTACAGTTTACCTTAGGTCAAAATTTCGCCTTCATAGAGGTGTACTCTACACGTCTGCGTGGTGGAAGCGATACATTTGTACTCTTTTGTTAATTGTCAAAATGTAACCGGTTAAAAAAAATCGAGATGAAAACATTAATCGATTAATCAGTAGGTTAATCGATCAAGTGCCCAACCTTAATTTCGACATAACAATATTACAGCCTCTGTGCACTTCGCACTGATGTGTGCAACTTCATCGTTGTCAGGTATGACTATGTAACTTCTTAATTGCTCAGTTCTGTCTGAACTTGGCTTAGAATGTTTCTGCTAGCAAATGCAGTTTTATTTCATTTTGTCGATTAGACCGTGATATGTAGAATTACGTTCTATGTAGAACGTATCGGACGCTAACTCAAGTATCAGCCTTCCAGGCACGCGAGGCCGTGTCTAGCTTAGTCACGTCCCCCCCCCCCCCTTTTTTTTTTTTTTTTTTTCAAAGCCTTTGCAGCTGGCGAAGTCTTCTCGAAGTTTCTCAGAGCCCTCTGTCCTGCCTCTTCTGTTTTTATTTGTTTTTCTTTCACAATTGCGTTGCGTGACTAGCGGCGCATGTGTTTGGCAGCCGGCCAACTCTCCTACCGCGGCCATCGTGGCACGCTTCACTTTTCAAGGCTCAATCGAAGTTAGTTTCAGTAAGAAAGAGATTCTTCATTAAGTACAAGGTCACGTAAGGTACTAAACAAACAGGGTGTCCCAGAAAAAAAAAAAAAATTACAGGGTTTTTTTTCCAACGCAAAAATAGACTACGCATCGCCGAACGCTCATTCTCCGCCCGAAAGTAGCGCTACTAGAGGTCCGGACCAGGTGCTAAATTATCAGAGCGAACCGATATTTTATTCAAAAGTTATCAGTTATTTTTTAAAAACGTCAAGGGGGAAATGGTGGTTGACGGAGCTCTCGAAGACATGGTGCTCTATGGCGCCAGAAACCGAAAACGGGCGAAAATGGGCCCCATTTTTCCCATTGAACTTTCCAGAAAATCACTTTATAGCTTTTGAATAAAATGTCGGTTCGAGCTGAAACTTCGGCATCTGGTTCGGACCTCTAGCGCTACCTTTTGGCGGAAAATGAGCGTTCGGTCGTGCATAGTCTATTTTTGCGATAAAAAAAATGTTTTGTTTTTTTTCTCGGAAGACTTTGTACATGATTTTGAATAACTGTTTCGAAGAACTTATACCCTGTTCAGTCATGACAGTGCAAGCGCCGAACCTGACCGATTGAATAACGTGTTATGGATATTGTTTCCAGGTGTTATAAAAGGACCAGAGGTATCACCAGAGGTTTCGATTGACTAGACTGAACAATAACTGCGTAGAAGTAAACAAGGATTGTTTGTTCGCTTAGTTTATTTGAGCAATGTGGTAATCAATTGGATCTCTTCCTCCAATGGCAGACGCCTGCTCATACGCCCGATACGTCTTCAAGAGCTTCGACCGGAACAGGAACGGTGCCATCAGCTTCAAGGTCAGTTGCTTGCCCTGAACAATGTTTTTTTTTTTTTCTTGTTTTTTTTCAGTCTTGTTTTGGCTTACGACACTCGCATGATGAGAGGAGTGGTACCGGTCACTGCGCTGTCACCTCGGGCCCTCGTCCCGCTGATGTCGGCGTGGCTGACAAATCACCAACGCACTACGATTTGTTGGCAACATTTTTGCCTCGTAGAAATACTGCTCCGTTTTACCCGGTGAAGTTTTACAGCGCAACCCTGTCTCTATGCAAGAATTGAAAGGAATGCCTTCAGTTTTTTTTTTTTCGAATTAGCCGCCTCGGTGGCTCTGAGGCCCAGAGCGCCGCCCTATGGATCCCAAGGTGGCGGGTTCGAATCCCGGCCGCCGTGCCCGCAATCTGACGGACGCTTATTGCGGATGAGGCGCCGTGTACTGAGCTTGCGGTTGCACGTCAAGGGATACCCAGGTGGTCCACATTAATCCTCAGTCCTCCGCTGGGGCGTGCCAGATGTCCATCTTTGAATTTGTCTTTTTCTGTTTTCGAACGGTCGACTACCGTTGAAAGTTGCAAGGGGCAGGTATGCCAAGCCAGGAGACATTGATACATTATCCTTGGAAACATCACCAGGTGACTGTCATCACCAATAATGCACTCGTGAGGCGCTTTCAGCTCACTAGACTGAGAGTTGAGACGCAAATTTTAACAGACTATTTTCAGGAAAATTTATTTGTACCACCTAAAGGCTGGTTCACAAACAAGCGTTAGAGTGTGATAGAGTGCGTAGCCATAAGGGCTGCCAACTCGAGGGGAATTTTCCAGATTAAAGGGGTACGGAAACAAAAATTTAAATATTCAAATTTCATTCAGAAATGAGCCAAGCATGACGTATAATAACCGTAAATGATAATCGCACGTTTGTATTTTGAACGACTGGCTATATTTTTCGTTCCAAACGGTGCACTCGAACAAGCGCTCGAAGAGAAGCGAGCGGAGAGTGTCATGGGATATCCGACGCAAACAAAAACAGAAAGGCAAGATTTCCCGCGTTCGTGGCGTAGCAAGGCTGGCGTGGTTATGAGCTTTGCCCTTGGTGGCGTTGTCAGCGTTGTGGTGGTGCCAACCGAGCCGTTCGAAGTACCCGTGGGGTGACGAGCGTGTGGCTGGCCTAAAGAGCACGTAGCTTCCACAGCACTGTCAGCTTAGGGCTGGACGGGTCCGAGTTTTGAGCGGCTGGTGGAGAATGCCTGTATCCGGGTGCACAAACGAGGGTCCGAGGAAGGGGGGAGTCCCTCCTTTCCATCTTCTTGGACTGTTTAGTTTAATGCGCGATTTGTGAGTTGAGGAGGAAAGCTTAGAAGGAAAATGTTGAAATTCCAAAGAGCGGCGCTACTCCGATGGAATCTGCTACGTCATGACTACGTAGCAAAATCCCCAACGTTGCTAGATTACCTCCCAAATAGGCTCCGCATGCATCCACCAGGTGCACTTTGAAAGATCGTTTAATTAGCTTTAAAATTAGTTTGCGTGTGCCTTTGAACGCAAGACTGGTGTTCTTGAGGTTATGCTGCAACACGCAACTCATTAAAACTAAAAAATGAGCGCTGGAATTTCATTTCCCTACCCCTTTAAGGTAATATTCAGGTCTATGTGGTAATAAGGGAAATCTTGCAAGTTCGAGAGAAATTTTGGGCATCGTATATATCGGGAATTTGATAGGTCAATTATAATTTTATTTCGAGATAACATCGAAGTTTAGCGGCTTTGGCTACATTTAGGCTATTCCCTCCCGCCGTTTGGCGGGTTGTCGTGCGACCATCTGGAAACACTGAGGAGCACTCGAATAACTTTTTTCGGCTAAATCAATTTTCGTGCCTTTTCATCGGCCCCGTGAAAGCTATGGAGGAAGGGATCAGCCAAGTGGGAGCTTCTGAGAGCGCCGCTGTGCCTTCTCGAAAAAGAAAACCTGGTACTTAAAGATATACTGCGATGTCTGGGGATACAGACTGCCGTGTACAAAATGGTATAGTTATTGTGCGTCGTGTTCTCAGTGTTCGGATACAAGTTGTTGTTTTGAGGTCCAGAGAAGGAAAGAGAAAGCCGCGAGACACTCGAATACAAGTACTCTCGCTTATTTTACACCTTTTGTTTTGGACTGACTAATATAAAAAGCGCTATTGAAGTTATTAAGCAGTACCATGTTCTGATGGCGTGCATGACAACTAAGGTGAAGATGGGATTCATTCATCAGTTTGAGTTCCACGATAACACTTCCCCTCGACAGATTTGCTTTGGCCGCGGAGTTGACCCGATGAAGTCATTTTTGCGAAACGTGTGCGAGGCTTAAAGGCTACATAATATATCTTTCATCGTAAAAATGGAAGTGATGTAAAAAAAAAAAGAAAAAAACGAATATTTAGTATCATGTAATTATTTGGGCAAGTGAGGGAAATTTTAGCAGAAATAGGGAAATTTCACGCGTTCGCTAGGGAAATTGTGACTTTCCGTGTTGGCAGCCCTGGTAGCGTTTCCCCGTAGCAGCTTACATGGATGGATGGATGTTAATGGCTATACCCTTTGTAACGGGCGGTAGCTTGCACCACCTAGCCTAAGTCTAAAAAGATAAAAACGTGATTCCTCCCGCCTGTTAAGACCAATTTTTCCCTCGGGTGTATCTCAAAACGTCCCATTCGCATTTCAACCTTGCACATTTCGACCCATTCTCATTTGGTCCTTCTCATTTGAACCTTCTCATAAGATCTGAATCGTGTTTTTCGCAACTGGACCCATTCTCATTTCGCCCGTTCGCACTACGACTGAATGGCACTAGTTCGGCATGCTTCTAATGTCGTTATGCCTTCGCGGCTTTGTTGATGAGCCTTACCTTGCTTGGGCCCCCAACATACCATCAGATATATGTTATGTGTAGAGGTACACACTAAAAATCGTACATTGACGCCTGCTTTTCTTCCTCTACGCAAATGAGAAAAAAAAAAAAAAAGAACGATGAACATTTAATTTGGAAACTTTGATTGAACAGAAATAACATACATAATAGCAGTGGTTCTCAACCATTGATGTTTCGCGGACCCCTTGTAGAAAGGCGGAGATAATGGAGGACCCCGTTCGGGGTGAGGGGAATAGAAAGGTATACGTTATCATGATAATGATTTAATAAATGAATATAACTAATTGCTAGTGTGAAATGGACTTATCTCATTGACATACACACGAGAGCACTCCCGAAAATTGGAACGTGTCTCTTCAACGTGAAGAAAGACAACTAATGTTGCCGTGCCTGACTGATGAGACAGGGCTTCACAGAGACCCCTAGGATGCCTTCGCAGACCCCCTTTTGAGAACCACTGCATTATAGATGTGGTGGCGTTGTCCCAAGTCGAAAGACCTCAAACAACGTGACATTTCGCAATATGATCTGGCTGCGATAAATAGTTGGTCTGTTTTATTGCCAGTTAGTAGCTTTTCACGACGACCTCGACGCACTGTTAAAATCCTTAGCAGAGAGAGTATTCCTGTAGTGTGGCACACACACACACACACACACACACACAAATTATATCAATGTATTAATATTACCCTAAAAAGACGATTCAAGTGCGACGGGTCAAGGCGAGATATATTTGAGAATGGATGTTTTGAAAAGGGCAAAACGAGAACGTGCCCAAATGAGGAGGGTTGGAATGCGAAAGACGAAACGGGAAAGGACTAAATGCGACAGGTCCAAGAGAGAAGATCTTTTTGAGAATGGTTGTTTTGAGAAGGGCCAAGTGAGAACGTCGAAACGAGAACGGGCTCAAATGATAACCACCCATTTTTCTCCCTCTAACTATCACCAGGCAGTGTGGGATATCACCAGAATGACCTTCGGGGGATCGGGAAAAAAAAAAAAACATCACCCCCTGCCTCTTCCCCCCGGCGACGGAGTCGCCAATTTTCCTCTGGTCAACCTTGTCGGCGTTACCCCAGCACCGGACCCACTGGGAGACAGGGTTGGAGCCACGCGGGAGGGAGTCCCAATTTTCCTCAGTCCCGCCTGTCCCCAGCTGTGCTAGTTAGTTGTACATCATTTAATTTTCCCTAGAGAATTTCCACCAATCTTCTAATCGCCTCTTTGTCACTGTAATCCTTTTCTCTTCCGTCCTTCCATCGTCCCCAGTAAAACCCAGGACCCCGGCCAAATCCGTTACGTACCCCCTCAGGGAGAGCAGGGTGAAGCCCCGTGCACTTCAAAACCAAGTGCTCTAGTGTCTCGCTATCATTATAGCAGGCGGCACATAATGTGTCAGTCTCCTGAAATTTAGCCCTATACGTCCTCGACCTCAAAACTCCCGTTCTTGCCTCGAACAGCAAAGCACTTCCCAGTGAATTGTCAAACAGTTTTTCCCTTCTTATGTCCTGCTTTCGTGACCTGTACACTGTTAAAGCTGATTTCTCCTGCATTCTCCCCTCCCACATTTTCCTCTCTGCCTCTCTCACCCCCTTTTTCACTGAAGTAGTCTGTTCAGCCCCATCACCAGTCTGTAGGTATTTAAATGTAAGCTTTCGGGTTCGGTTTGTCCAGTTTGTGTTTAAACTTTTCATGTATAAATACTTGAATACCTTCCGTGCCCACCACGTATCATCCATTTCGGTCAACCTTTGTTCAAATTTCAACTTACTGATTGCCTTCCTGCTCTCAAAAGACGACCATTCCATGTCCCCCTGTACTCCCTCATTTGGTGTTTTTCCATGTGCTCCCAGCGCCAATCTGCCTACGCTTCTTTGTCGAATTTCTAATCCTGATTGAACCTCAGATTTCATGCACAGTACTGCGTTACCAAAACACAGTTTTGGTATCATCACTCCTTTTCATATACCTCTGACCAACTCATATCTGTTATAGTTCCATAGTGCCTTGAGCTTCATAATTGATGAATTTCTTTTCCCTTTTCTAATTATATTCTCCTCGTGTTCCTCTAGATATTTCCTTCCCTCATTGAGCCAGACTCCCAGATATT